ATATTGAAGTTCTTCTTCATATCAGACTTGAATTTTCTGATTTCTTCATCATTGCATCCTATCACCAGAAGATCATCAACATACAAGGAAATAATTACTTGAGCCATGCCATTATGTTTGAGAATGTACATGGTTGCTTCATTAGGGCTCTTCACAAACCCAAGATTCACCAGATATGAATCAATTTTGCTATTCCAGGTTCTTGAAGCCTGTTTGAGGCCATACAAGGCTTTATGTAATCTGTAAACCTTATTAGATTGAGATTCAATTTTAAATCCCTCTGGTTGCTCAACATAGATCTCCTCCTGGAATAAACCATTTAAAAATGCAATTTTCACATACAAGTGATACACCGTGCATCCAAATGCAGCTGATAATGCAAATAATAGTTGAATGGTTTCAAAACAAGCTACAAGTGCAAAAGTTTGCAAAAAAGCAACACCTGGAAGCTATGAGTACCCTTTAGCAATAAGTCTTGCTTTGTACTTGTTTAAAGTACCATCTGAATCAAACTTCTTCCCAAAGATCCACTTAACTCCTATTGCATGGTGCTTTGTTGGTTGATCAACAAGTGATCATGTGTTGTTTTTGTTTATTGTGTCGATCTCCTGTTGCATTGCAACTCTCCATTCCTCAAATTCTGCTACTGCTTGATATGTATTAGGTTCAGTTGTAGCAACTAAACACCTATGATATATATCATCCAGACTTCGAGTGCCTCTAATTGCATAGTTTTCATCATCATTTACATTCTGTTCTAGAATATATGACCTAGTCTCAATTGGTTAATTGATCTGAATAATGAATGGTGATGCTGAACTCTCTGGTTCACTTGTAAACCAGTCCCAATTAGAGTCTTCATCAAATACAACATTCTTGGTAATCACAACCTTATCTGACTTTACCAGGTAATCTCATGTCCTTTTGACTGCTCGCTATAACTAATGAAAATTCCTGCTTCAGACCTATGTTCAAGTTTGTCTTGGTGATTCTCAGGAATTTATGATAGCATAGACTTCTAAATATCCTAAGATGATCAACTGAGAGCTTACTGCCATGCTAAGCTTCATATGACGTTTTTGGCAAAGCTCTTGTTGGTAATCTATTTAACAGGTATACAGTAGTATTACAAGCTTTTGCCCATAACTTCTTTGGAAGTTTTTTTTCAAACAAAAGGCATCTTGCCGTGTCAAGTATTGACCTGTTCTTCCTTTCACTTACCCCATTCTGTTGAGGTGAGTGAGGAATAGTAAGCTGATGATGAATCCCTTCAGCCTCAAGATAATTTTCAAATTTTGATGAAGTGAATTCCCCACCATTATCTGATCTCACACTCTTCAGTTTTAAACCAGATTCAGTTTCAACTTTTGCCTTGAATCTGACAAATGTCTTAAACACTGCAAACTTGAATTTGAGGAAATAAATCCAAGTCATTCTGCTGAAATCATCAATAAATACTATGTAGTATTTGTTCCCACTTAAAAATTCTTGGCTCATAGGCCCTACCACATCAGTATGAACCAAATTAAGCTTACTCCTAGATCTAGATAAGCTTGTAGTAGAATATGGTTTGCTTGTCTGTTTACCATATTTGCAAACATCACACACTGATGTTGTCTGACTTGATTTAAGTAGCTTTTCAACTAAACTTTTTATGTACAATTGACTCAGATAATTAAAACTACAATGCCTAAATCTTTTATGCTATCATGATGACACATCAGAGTTACTACCACTTGCCTGCATGCACACTTCAGTTAAGTTGACATGAAAACATCTATTTTTCATTTGTACCTTCATAAGCAACTCACCAGACGGATGATAAATAGTGCATGTATCATCTTTAAATATAAGCACATAATTATTTTCCATCATTTAACCTACACTAAGTAGATTTTGTGCTATGTTAGGTACTAGAAGTACTTCATGAACATACCTTTGACCTGATGATGTATGGATACCAACTGTACCTTTTCCCATGGCATTCAGATAAACTCCATTCCCAATTCTAACTCTGGATCTGTAATGATTGTCCAATTTTGTAAATAATAAAGGATTGGATGTCACATGAATAGAGCTACCACTATCGAGAAGCCATTGTGTAACATCTATTGAGTTGCATCCAATTGCCATAAATAGCTGTTCCTCTGAAGACTCAACATTTTTAGTAGCATTTGAGACATTTTCTTTTGCTTTAGGTTTATTTTTGCATACTCTTTCTACATGACCTAACTGTTTGCAAGCATTGCACTTCACCCCAAGTCTGTACCAGCAGTATGATTCAGCATGGTTCTTTTTCTTGCAGTAGGAACATACTAGAAATTTACTCTTTCTACCTTGAACTTTTCCAGATCTTGAGCTTCCATTTTCTTGCTCTTTCACTTCATTAAAAATTTTTTTGTTTGAAGTGTTTGCATGTCCCTTTCCTTTTACCCAAACAGTCATTGCAAGGTTTGTTTTCTCATTTCTCTTTGCAGCTTTTCTGCAAAGCACTTACCAACTCAGTAATGGTAAGTTGTGTAATGTTCTTGGATTGTTCTAGGGACGAGACTTTGGCATCAAATTTTTCGGTTAAACTAATTAATACCTTTTTTACCACCTTAGCATCTTTCAAATTTTCTCCCAACAACCAAATTTGGTTAACCAACTTCATCCCCATGTCAATATATTCTATTATTGACTCGCTTGCTTTCATTCTCAGCAACTCAAACTCCCTTCTAAGGTGCTGCAATCGAATTTGTCTGGACCTTGCAAGCCCCAAAAAACTCCTCTTCAAGCTTATCCCAGGCTTGCTTTGCTGTCTCACTTCCCATAGTTTTACTTAAAACTGACTCGGACACAACAGAGTGAATAAAGGACCAAGCTCGATACTGTTTGGCTATGTTTTCTTCATACTGCTTAACCTTAGGCTTTCATCTTGACAGCCCACACTGGATAATTGGTGCCATCAAAGATTGAGGGAGCTTGTTGAGTAACAGTAGGAGTAGCCATTTGTTTCTGAGAAAAAAAAGTAACAAACGAAATTAACTAAGAAGCCTAAGGTTGGATTTTCAGGTTTAATGGGGGTCAGGAATCGGTTTAGTGCTCTAATACCATGTTATGAACTTGATTTCAAGAAGGAAAATATAAAACCAAGTATATTGAAAAAGAATTACAAAGAACAGAGCATTAAAGAAGCAAAAACGATAAGTCCAAAGTTCTGCTTCATTACTTCATAAGCATATTGTATAAATGCAAGTAATGCATGATAAACACCTGTTACACATGAAGACAAGTGTTAAACAAGTTACATGCATTGCAAC